CCTTTCTTCCAAGGAGCAAGCGTCTTAATTTCATGGCTGCAATCACCATCTGCAGTGATTTTGGAGCCCCCCAAAATAAAGTCAGCCATTGTTTCCATTGTTTCCCATGTATTTGCCATGAAGTGATGGGACCAGAAGCCAGGATCTTGGTTTTCTGAATGTTGAGTTTCAAGCCAACTTTTCCACTCTCCTCTTTTACTTTCATCAAGAGGATCTTTAGTTCTTCTTTGCNAATGAAAACTGACCTTTTCCAGTCCTGTGGCCACTGCTGAGTTTTCCAAATTTGCTGACATATTGAGTGCAGCACTTTCACAGCATCATCTTTCAGGATTTGAAATAGGTCAACTGGAATTCCATCACCTCCACTAGCTTTGTTCACAGTGATGCTTCCTATGGCCCACTTGACTTCACATTCCAGGATGTCTGGCTCTAGGTCAATGATCACACCATCGTGATTACTGGGTCGTGAAAACCTTTTTTGTACAGTTCTTCTGTATATTCTTGCCACCTCTTCTTAATATCTTCTGCTTCTGTTAGGTCCATACCATTTCTGTCCTTTATTGAGCCCATCTCTGCATGAAATGTTCCCTTGGTATCTCTAATTTTCTTGAAGAGATCTCTAGCCTTTCCCATTCTATTGTTCTCCTCTATTTCTTTGCATTGATCACTGAGGAAGGCTTTCTTATCTCTCCTTGCTATTCTTTGGAACTCTGCATTCAAATGGGTATATATTTCCTTTTCTCCTTTGCCTTTAGCTTCTCTTCTTTTCTCAACTATTTGTAAGGCCTCCTCTCACAACCATTTTGCTTTTATGCATTTCTTTTTCTTGGAGATAGTCTTGATCCCTGCATTTCTTTTTCTTGGAGATAGTCTTGATCCCTGCCTCCTATACAATGTCACAAACCTCCATCCAGAGTTCTTCAGGCACTCTATCAGATCTAATCCTTGAATTTATTTCTCACTTCCACTGTATAATCATAAGGGATTTGATTTAGGTCATACCTGAATGGTCTAGTGGTTTTCCCCACTTTCTTTAATTTAAGTCTGAATTTGGCAATAAGGAGTTCATGATCTGAGCCACGGTCAGCTCCCAGTCTTGCATTTGCTGTATAGCTATAGAAGCTGTAGAGCTTCTCCATCTTTGGCTGTAAAGAATATGATCGGTATTGACCATCTGGTGATGTCCATGTGTAGTCTTCTCTTGTGTTGTTGGAAGAGGGTGTTTGCTATGACAAGTGTATTCTCTTGGCAAAACTCCATTAGCCTTTGCCCTGCTTCACTCTGTACTCCAAGGCCAAATTTGCCTGCTACTCCAGGTATCTCTTGACTTCCTATTTTTGCATTCCAGTCTGTCATCATGAAGAGGACATCTTTTTCGGGTGTTAGTTCTAGAAGGTCTTCATAGAGCTTCATGACCTTCATGGTAGGTCTTCATAGCACCATTCGACTTCATTTTCTTCAGTATTACTGGTCGGGGCATAGACTTGGACTACTTTGATATTGAATGATTTGCTTTGGAAATGAACAGAGATCATTCATTTTTGAGATTGCATCCAAGTACTGCATTTTGGACTCTTTTGTTGATTATGATGGCTACTCCATTTCTTTTAAGGGATTCCTGCCCACAGTAGCAGATATAATGCTCATCTGAGTTAAATTCACCCATTCCAGTCCATTTTAGTTTGCTGATTCCTAAAATGTCGATGTTCAATCTTGCCATCTCCTGTTTGACCACTTTCAATTTGCCTTGATTCATAGACCTAACATTCCAGGTTCCTATGCAATACTGCTCTTTACAGCATTGGACTTTACTTCCATCACCCGTCACATCCACAACTGGGTGTTGTTTTTGCTCTGGCTCTGTCTCTTCATTCTTTCTGGAGTTATTTCCCCACTGATCTCCCATAGCATACTGGGCACCTACCGACCTGGAGAGTTCATCTTTCAGTGTCCTATCTTTTTGTCTTTTCTTACTGTTTATGGGGTTCTCAAGAATACTGAAGTGGTTTGCCATTCCCTTCTCCAGTGGACCATATTTTGTCAGAACTCTCCACCATGACCCATCTGTCTTGGGTGGCCCTACAGGGCATGGCTCATAGTTTCATTGAGTTAGACAAAGCTGTGGTCCATGGGATCAGAGTGGTTAGTTTTCTGTGATTGTGGTTTTCATTCTATCTGCCTTCTGCTGGAGAAGGATAAGAGGCTTATGGAAGCTTCCTGATGGGAGAGACTGACTGAGAGGGAAACTGGTTCTTGTTCTGATGGGGGGGGGGCCATGCTCAGTAAATCTTTAATCCAATTTTCTGTTCATGGGTGGGGCTGTGTTCCCTCCCTGTTGTTTGACCTAAGGCCAAACTATGGTGGAGGTAATGAAGATAATGGTGACCTCCTTCAAAAGGTCCCATGCAGTTACCCCAACCCTGCAGCAGGCTACTGCCAACCCACACCTCTGCTGGAGACTCCTGGACATTCACCAGCAAGTCTGAATCAGTCTGTTAGCACTAAATAATATTCCATTGTCTGGTTGTATCACTGTTGATTGATCCATTCACCCACTGTAGGACATCTTGGTTGCTTCTACCTCTTGGAAGTTATGGAAAAAGCTGCTATAAACATCTACATTTAGGTTTCTGTATGGATATAAGTTTCCAAATCCTTTGAGGCAAGAATACTGGAGTGGGTTGTCATTCCCTTTTCCAGGGGATCTTCCCAACCCAGGGATCGACCCAGGTCTTCAGCACTGCAGACAGATTCTTTACCATCTTTACCATCAGGTACTTAACGAATAAAGTTGGGAAGAACTGTACCTTGATAATATTGAGATTTTCTATTCATGAACAGGAAATATCTTTCCACCTATTTATTTATTTCTTCTTTGATTTCTTTCATCAGAGTTTTGTAGTGTTCCACATACAGATCTTATATGTATTTTGTTAAATTTATGTCTGAGTATTTTATTTGGGGGGGGTACTAATGTAAATGATTGGAGAAGGCAATGGCAACCCACTCCAGAACTCTTGCTGGAAAATCCCATGGACTGAGGAGCCTGGTAGGCTACAGTCCATGGGGTCGCAAAGAGTCGGACACGACTGAGCGACTTCACTTTCACTTTCACAATGTAAATGGTGTTTCATTTTAAATTTCAAATTCCATTGTTCATTGCTGGTATATAGGAAAGTGATTGGCTTTTATATAGTAACTTTGTATTCTGTAACTTTTTTGTAGACACTTATTAGTTACAGGAGATATTTTGGTCAATACTTTAAGCGTAACAATCCAGTAGGTAATCATATCACCTGAAACCAAAGACTATTTTATTTCTTCCTTCTCAATAAGTACATTTTTTTTATTTCCTTTTCTCACCTATTGCATTAGCAAGGACTTCCAGAATAATATTGAAAGTTGTACATGATCTTAGTGGGGAAACTTTGAGTTTCTAACCATTAAGTATGATGTCAGCTGTAGGTTTTTTAAATCTTTATTAAGTTGAGAAATTTCTCCTCTATTCCTATTTTACTGAGACCTGTTGGGTTTTTACTTACAATGACTAGTATTGAAAACATGTCCCATGAAGGGAAAGGAGGCTTTGGACTCTCAATGTCCATTTGGAGAAAGACAAGAGCACCTCAGTGTCAAGAGGTTCTGTTATATGTCAAGAGCACCTCAGTGCTCTTTAATGGACAGTCAGCCTCTCACAGGCACTGCAGGACTTCTTTCACGTGAGCTAGATCACAGCAAGTTATCGGGTCTCCCTCAGAAATCTGCCTCAAAATTTCAATTTGCCTGTTTAAGAGTCAAGGACAGAGCACTGACCTAATTGCTTCACCCCATCATTGCTGTGTGTTTTTGCATAACCTCACCAGCTCCCTTCTTCGTTCACCTGGAGGTTATTCCGGACCTGAGAGAGCTCTCTAATATTCCTGCCATTGAAGCATTCAATTCAATTCTAACATTCCTTGCTTGAGGCAGCGAGAAACACCCCAGGCTACTGTCCTGGAGAAGCAATCTCTGCCCCAGGTTCTCCCTCTCTTGGTAGAAGCTCAGACATGTTAAGCATGAATGTACTCTGCCTAGATTGCTACAGTCCATGGGATTGAAAAGAGGCGGACTTGACCTTGCAGCTAAACCACTCTACCTAGATTAAGGGGACCAGGGAATGGCGTTTCTTACCAGTTTCTTGCCCCATACCACATGCCAGCCTCCACACATTGCTTTGAAATATTCTAAACATTCCTAGGCTAAAGCCAAAGATTAATCTAAACAAGGGTGATAATCAGCATGGCCCAGACTCCCGCCAATTAGAATGGATGCCAGCCTGGCTGGGGCAGGGCCTGGCAGCCCCCTGTTGGGGCAGGCATTAGTCCTTTGCTCGCTGGATGGCAGAGTGAGCCAGAAGGTCTCAGGGAGGGATCTGAGGGGGCTGTACAGGGCGGGGCTCCAGGAAGGACTTTTTACCTGCAGGTGAGCAAATGTTGCCATGTGTAACAACCAGTGCAGCCATTCTAGTGTATACCAATTGAAAGACCAGCCTAAATAAATGAGTAGCATTTGGCTATTTTATTAAAGTTTTCCCCCATCTTCTCTCCTTTCTTAGGCATGAGACAGAGTGTGCCACAGCCCACAGCCCACTGTATGCTTTGCTCTCTAGAAAGATTACTAAAGAAACTAAATACACACATAACTACAGAACCTTTCTTAGAAGTGTCATCTGAGCAAAATAGTGCTATTTTAAAAACCATCATGACACCCTTACCACACTCTACCAATCTTGACTCTCCAGCTAACACTGAATAAATGTACATTCTTTTTCCATGCTAATTGTTTTCAGACCACCGACTAGAATTACAGCATGAAAAGGCCGCTGTCATGTTCAGTATACATTTTTAATAGACATCTTTAAACATTTAGACAAAATATTATTTTTAAATGGCAATTCTTTAACTGGTAAATGTAATTATCTAACTTTAAAGAAAAAAAAGAAAAAGCTGACAATCAAAATATTCTGTCAGTGCTTTACCGAAGCACCTAAAATACCTTTTCAGCAAATGAAACGATACTTTATTTTATGCTTTTAAAAATGCATTAGGGTAATTGCTCTGCAACAAATCACCTTCTCTGCTCCAAGCTCGACTGCCACATCCCTCATGTGTCCATCAACTATGCACATTGCCATGATCTCCTGATGATCGCCCAGGGTGAATCCCCCAACAGCATGTTTATAAGGGTATTCAGTTGAGCAATCTGCAAAATAATTATATTTCAATGGAGATATTACACTGTGAAAAAAATCTATTATATGTCAAGTGCTAAATGAAGCAGTTTATAGCACCAAGACACATTTATTGGTGCTTTTAATCAAAGCAAATAACTTTTGCAAGCTGATCATTCCATTGTTTTCTTGCAATTTTAATTTGCTTCCTTAATAACAAAAATATGCTTTTCAACCAGCAGTCGTCACTTTACTTCTGAATAAACAAATTGCTAGATTTTTTAAAAAAATATTCTTGGTTTACCATCTCCATATGGTTGGAATCTATTCTCCCAAAGTCCTGTGGTTAAAAAAAAGAAAGATGTACAAAAAGTTAGCCTTCTTACAAAGGTGGTCCCAAAGTCCACATTTTCCTTAAGTCCAAAGAGGGACTCAGGGACCCTTAACCCTATCTGTTGGTGGCAGAAGAGCTGAAGAACTTTTGCTCCAATGCACTTCATTTGCTCCTTTGTAAAGTTTAAGGTTCAAAGCCTAGAAGGTTCTTTGTAGGCTTCAAGTTGAACGCAACCTGCTTTCTTTCAACATGCCAGTCATCACTGCTGCAACAGCAAGGGCCCTGAGCTTACCTCTCAGGACTAAATTTCAACCGTACTGTATTGTATTTCCAGAAATACTAACTGTATTGCATTTCCAGAAAATGTTGAGGACACAAAGAAATCACTCTTTTAGACTTCAAAATGTAATAATGTAATAAAAAGCCATAGACTTTCACCATATCTCATCAAGCCTGACCACAACATCGAATATTGATGAATTTCTCATGAATATAATAGTTCAGATTTCTCCAGAAGGCTCACTGTGTAGCAGATCCCCCTTGAAGTGCTCTTAAGCCTTCTCTCCTGTAATACAACAATCCTATGCAATAAAGCCGTTGTGTAGCCCAATTCACAGATGAGGAAACTGAGGCTAGAGAGATTAAATACTTTGCCCAATGATTTAGCCAATTTTCCTAGATGTCCCCTGGCAGTGTTCAACAGATGCTGACCAACAGACTCAAACCCACTTAAGAAACCCTTCTTCACCCACATCACAATGGTCCACTAAATCTGAGTACTGGTCAGAGTCACTTGAACAGCCAAGTCCAACACGTGACAAAGACACAGGGAACTGGAGGTCCCCGGATCTGTGGGCATCCCTACTTGCTGAGGCTCAACAAGCACCAGCCCCAGAGAAAGCTCCTCCTCTTCGTCCTACCTGCAACCTTATTTTCAGAAAAGACCCATTTGAAATCCTAACCAAACCTCACAGTAGGATTCCCCTCTCTGTATCCGCCCGTTTTCAGCAGGAAGTGTGACTAATCACAAAACTATGATGGGAAGAGCCTGCAGCGGGCTCCCGGCCTGGTTCTGATGACACCACACTCCTTCAGCGCCAGCCAGCCCTGCCCCCAGCAGGGTGTTCCGCCTCCACTTCACCCCTAACCCTGGCACCGCAGACCCAGGATGGGGAGAGGGCACCTTCCAGTTCTGGCTGCCCCACAATAAAGCTGCTGACTGTGCCGTGTTAGTGGCTGTACCTCTCCCCCCTGCTCCTGCCTCCAGCCTCCCCGCCCACCCACTTGTTACCGAAGAAGGAATTCATAGGGCCTGGACTCCATCTTAGGCCTGTTCATGCTGATCATGCTTGGCCACCTTTCCAGTGGACTCTGAACTCTGTGTTCAGTGTCTATGGAAACGACAACAGAAGGATAAGACCTCCTCCGGACAGGGGAACCTTGAAGATCGTATCCAGGTTACTCCTCGCCTAAGAGAAAACATACACTAATATACACCCCTCCCTCCAGACAGGCCATAAATTTTCTGTACCTGTCGGAGTGTAACCTCATGCTTATTGATTATTGGCTAATTGTTTAACTGTCTGAGCACATGGCACATGAGTGATGGGGTTATTGGGATTGTATTTACCCTTCCTTAGTTTATGTAAGTCTCAAGGAATTTGGGGTGGTGGGTTTGGACACGTACTCGTGGGGTAAAAAAGATTTTCACAAATGCTGGTCGGGGTCCTTCGCTAAGAGGAGACCCTGCCTTGGGCCCGCTGGTGTAATAAACTGCACTCCACTATCTGCATTGTCCTTCTGAGTGAGTTTGTTTCCTGGAACGCATGGCTACAACATTACCATTAAGCCTGTATCGTCTAAAAGGCATTGGTTATTAGTGCTGACGAGCCTCTGTTCAGAGCGGATCTTAGAGAGGAGCGCGCTGACAAGACACGTTTCCAGAACAAAGAATGTCAAACAGATGCTTAGATCCCAAAGGAGAAAGCCATGTGGTATGTGTGGGGTTTGCGTGTGGGAGAGAGTACATGTGCCCACTCGTGTGTACGGTATATGGGCACGCACAGGCATGAAGACTGGAGAGAGGGAGCTCCCGAGAACGTTACCAATAATCAGGTCTCATGATCCTAAGGAAGAAAGAGGGGGGAACAACACTGAAACAGAAGACACCATCTTTTCCTGGAGAAATCACTGAAGTTTGGATCAAGAATTTTCTTTTCAGGACCACAACAGCTGGGGTTCTTCATAACTGTGATATTGAGCACTGATTATGACCAAACTCTGTGCTAAACATTTCACATGAATCCCAACATTCACCTTATGACATACACTGCTATCTCCATTTTACAGAGACGGGTTCAGAGAGGCTGGCTTATTTCCTCAGTGTCACACAGCTAATAAGCAGTGAACTGGGAGTCAGCTGGCGCCATGTGAAGGCAGCGTTGGTGCTCCAAACTTGTTGCTAATGGTTCACCTTCTTCCCCAAAATTAAAGACATTGTTGTGAGCTAATCACCACCACTTTCAGCCCTGAATGCAAAGGCTATTTTCATGACAGCACAGTCAGGGCCAGATGCTTTCAAACAATCACTGGGCAAAAAACCCCTTGGGCAGCTTGTTAATATACAGGTTTTTGGCCACACCCTAGTGATTCTGATTCTGCTTTGTCTGAGTCAGGTCCTAGGAAGCTGCATTTCCAACCAGCCATTTCAACTGATTTTGATACAGAGTGTAAAAACACAGGTCTCATCCAGGGCTCAGGGTTGGCGTTAATGTAAGTGGATGTCTCCACTGTTGGTCAATACACTTCAACCTACCTCATCATCACTCTTAGCACCCTCTCTCTAGGGTTAGGGATGGGAATGCATAGACCCAAATACAGCAAAACTTGGAGAGAGGGCTTATTCCTTTAAGAAACTTATTTTTGCAAACCCCAAATTGAGAGAAGATTAAGCTATTTCATAGATTCTCTAAACATGCCCAAAATTAAAAGCGAGCCCATTTACTTTGGGAGACTCTAAGTTCTGTGAGGGCCAGCACAATGCCTGTCACTTACCAGACATGCCGTTAAACATGTGTGGAATTGATGCATGAAGGAGAATGAAACCAATCTGCTTATGGTTGCCAACATCTCTAAGAAAGAAACTTGAAATCTTTACAGCAGAGTTCCTCAACCACAGCACTGATCTTTTTATTTACTTTTTTTAATTGAGGGATAATTATTTTACAATATTGTATTGGTTTTTGCCATACATCAACATGAATCAGCCATTGGTATGCGTGGGGTCTGAGTTTCAGCCTCGGTGGTGGAGCAGAGTGAGCTGGCACCCCCAGGCCAACTGGGAGACACTCACATGCCTTGGGCCACAGGTAGGAGAGGGGACAGAGCATCAGCCTGGCCAAAGCCCTTCCTACTGACTTTTTGGACCTGATAATTCTTCCCTGGTGGGGTGGGAGGCCAGGGGAGGGTTGTCCTGTGCATTATAGGGAGGTTAGCATCATTCCTAGCCTCTAGCTGCTGCATGCCANCTGGTGGGGTGGGAGGCCAGGGGAGGGTTGTCCTGTGCATTATAGGGAGGTTAGCATCATTCCTAGCCTCTAGCTGCTGCATGCCAGCAGCAACCCTCCGCATCCAAAGCCATGACCACCAAAAATATCTCCAGATATTGCCAAAGGTCCTCTGCACAGCAAAATCACACCTGGTTGAGAATCGCTGTTTTAAAGGAGGCCAAAAAAATATCAAATATTTTAATTGCTTTCAAAAGTGCCTGATTCCTTTCTGATCACCATCTCCACTAGCATCATACCCTTCTCCCAAAAGGGTTTTTGGTTGTTACTGTTGTTTGTTTAATGGCCTCAGAATCTCTGGAAACTTTGCATCTCTTTTCAGGACACATTTCTAGCGTGTTTTTGAAGGACAATTAATGTGTACAACAATCTCAAATCTCAGGAGACCAGGAATAAAATGAATATAAGAGTTTTTAGAGAACAAAGAAACAGATTTGTATGAAAAGAGAGATATCTGAATACTGTAACACTTTTTCTAGATGCTAGAAGACAAATACCTTCAAAATTCCCAGGAGAAGTTATTTTCCATCTAGTATGATATACCCAGCCCAATTTTCAGTCAAATATGAGGTTTGAATAAATTTATTTTTAGACATGCAAGTAATAAAAAAAAAAATTCTTTCCATGCACCCTTTCTTAGGAAGTTCCTGGAAGATATCCTTCAGCAAATTCAGAAAATTAACCAAAAAGAAAAGAAGAATGGGATCCAGGAAAGAGGAAATCTAGCACAAGAAAGTAGATGAGAGGTACTATCCACACCCAAAGAGCAGCTGCTCCAAATGGGTGAGGACTGTGGGGCAGGAGGAAGAACATAAATGACTGAGTGTTCAGAAATGGACAAGTTATTGACAGACGTCAGGTGACGTATCTGTCAGCAAATCTGGAAAAAATAGTAGTGATCTGTACTTAGAACGGAGCAAGTTTAAAAAAATAAATAAATAAAAGGTGGCGGATGGGGGAGGGAGCAATTATTTATTCCAGGTGAAAGAAAAGGTTAAAATAGTTTGAGGGAAAATGATTATATTATGTTTGTTGACTTGACAATAAACAATATTCACCCGGTCAACACCATGGAAACACTGAATATTAACTGAACAAAAACTGTGTGTCCAAGGGTTGGAGCTAGGAAGGCAGGGAGGTGAATCAGAGAGCTGAAGCATTCATCTATGACAAGAGAAAGTCGGGAAGGAATAAAGCGTGAGGTAACAGTGTGAGCACAGGATCTGGAAATAAGGGCGTAAACACCAGAAGCAAGGGGAAAGTTGCTCAGTCCTGTCCGATTCTTTGCAGAAAAAAACAGTTTAAAAACTTGAAAGTGGCTGTCTCTGAAGAAAAAGATTAGAGGCGGGAGAAGAAAGCAGAGGCTTCCCACTGTTTGTTACAAGCCTTTCTCCTTGATTAACTGTATGCATGCATTACCTTAATGAAAATACAAGTCAACTTAAAGACATAATAGGACGAGATACTATTTCTAAATGACTCGGCGCCTGGAACACACTACATGCACATACTCACGTGGTACGCAGCTGCTCTGGGGCTGTCCCCGCCTCGCTGCCAGCCTGGGTGCAGAATCTCGTATCCATACTACGGATGACAGCGCATTTGTGGGGCTGTCTCAGGCTTTTCCTCTGCTTCCGTCACACCTGCCTGCCTGCTGCTCCCTCAGCCTAGAAGGCCTGTCTCCCAAATGTTCTCACCCACTCACCCTTCAGTCCCTCTTAAGTCACCCCCCAACAGAGGCCCTCCCTGCCTTCCTAGCTAAAATAGTGCCTCCGATCCTAGCTAAAATAGCGCCTCCGATCCTCTTTAGTCTCTCCCCTCTTCCACTGTATCTCACCTATAGGACTTGCCGCTATCTGAAGTATCCCTTCACCTACCCATCTCCTCTCTCTCAACTGAATATTAACTTTCAACGGGCAAGGACTCTCTTTGCTGATGAGTTGCCATCTTGGGAACCAGGCCTAAAAAATATTTAACTGGATGGAAGGGTGTGAGGATGGATGAACAAATAAATGAAAGTTAGTTTGAATTCGGGGGTTGCGATTACACTATTGATACGAAGTATAAAATAGGTAACTGATGAGAACATACTGTATAGCACAGGGAACTCTACTTAATGCACGGGGATGACCTGAGTGTGAAGCAAGTTCAAAAGAGAGGGGATATATGTATACAGATGGCTGGTTCATTTTTGCCGTGCTAACATTGTAAAGCACCTACATTCCAATAAAAATTAATTTTAAAAAGAGAAAGCTTGTTTGGAGATTCTAGCAGGAGCTCCCCTGATCGAGGAACAGTCCTCCTCTATCAGAAGTCATCCTTGTAGACTGAGCATGTGCGGGAGGGACACACACATGGCATCCAGGGAGGACGGGGGCACCTCCACTCTCTAGAGAGATCAGCCTGACACTCAGCAAGTGAGTGAACGAACGCGCTCATGCTATGCAACTGTCCCAGCCTATTGCTTGTGCGGTCTCTGGGTTAAGACAAATTTCAGGTGGCGCCATTTTATTTCCAGAGATTGTTCCTCTGTTTCATCTGCTTAACCCATCAAAGTCTGCAACACCCGTCCCTCCCACTTCTACCTCATCATAGTTCTTCCACCTACAGGCCTCCATCTCTCAGAAAGAAACCTTCTTGGAGCTTCTTCAATTGATAGGTTCAGGACATATTTTGCATAGTCAAGTAGCTTTTTAAAGTTCTGGACATCAGGTATCCAAGAGCACAGGATTAGGACAGCTACTAGAGTGACATAATAAAGAAT